GCCTCTGGATGGCAAGAGTCTTCAGAGAATGAAGTTGGTAGAAAAACTTCAATCTTATCCAGTTCAGATTGATTGTGATGTTGTGCACAGAAGGAGAGTACCAGTGGAAGATTTTCCACTCTTCACTGCAGAGGAGCCAAAGGAAGCTCTCCTAGCTTATATTGCTTCTTGTATAGAAGATGGCACTCTTATGCCAGTTGATCTGCTGCTACGTGCTTCTCAACCTGCTCCAGAGCTGATTATAAGGAAGAGACGCAAGAAGAGAAAGGTCTCTAAAGAAGATCCCTCAGAGAAACAGTCTAAGAGTTCTAAGAGAAAGGCTTCTGAAGAAGACTCTTCCAAGAAGTCATCAAAGCGTTCCAAGAAATCAAGTAATCACTCTGCTGTTTTATCTCCTGTTTTGGAAACTGTAACAGAAGAACCAACATCTCAACCCCCTCTCTCCTTTGAACATCTCAACATCTCAACATCTGAACCTATTATTTCTTCTGAACATATTATCCCTTCTGAACCTTTGATCATCTGAACCTATTCTCTCTTCTGAACCTATCATCACCTCTGAGCACCATTCACATTCCTCTGAGCATGTTCATGTCTCTGCTGCCTCTCCTCTCTCCCAACCACAAACTTCTAACCCTCACACCACCTCTCAACATAACCAAGAAGCCACCTCTGAACACACCACCTCTATACCATCCACACCCTCATTCAATATCCCTCAGCAAACCAATTCTACTGAAGTCCCCTTTAGAAACCAACCAGTTGCTACCAACCCCTCTGAACCTGAAATCTTTCATGCCACACCTCTCCTAACCATTCACCCAATTCCATCTGACTCATCTGACTCCTCTGACTCCTTCTCTGACCAATCAGATGCTACATCCCCTCCACATAACTCCCCAAACCATCCTCTTGAATTTTCTTCTCCCATTTCCATTCCCTCTCATTCTCCAGATAAACCTTCATCATATGTTAAACCTTCACTCTTTGATTCCCTTAAGCAATCCTTCTTCGAGGCCTACCTTAAGCCCAAACCTAGACCAAATGTTGGTAATCTGTTATCTAGTTTTGAAACGGAGATGCAGATGTGGTTTTCTGCTGTTAGGGAGAAGTGCCTCACTAGCAAGAATCCTCATGACTCTGAAGAGATCTCGACTGCCTTCAGAAAGAGATTCACTTTTGTGACTATGAATCTTCAGGATGCTTGCTCTGCAGATGCGCAAGAGAGAGTTTCTGAAGCTCTGAAACTTGCTCAACTCAGTGTCAGCAGAACTCCTATTCTGTGTCTGGAAAATACACCTGCAGAAGTTTTGTGTTCCTCATTTGAGAAATCTGCTGCACTTCAGATGAGTGAAGATCCTCAGGCTGAAGAAGGTACCTCAGATGTCCTATTACTGAATAGATTCCTGACTCTAGCCAGCCCTCTTCTCTGGAATTAGGAAATGCACCTTCTTCATTGGTTGTTCAGAATTCAACAGATTTAAGGAAAGAAAATGAAGATGTGCAAACCAAGTTTGCTCAGCAAGAGGCTACTAACAATGAGATAAAATCTTGGATGATCAAGCAAGAGAAAACTATGGCAGAGATTCAGGAGTGGATGGTCAAACAGGAAGAATCCACTACTGAAATCAAGACATGGATGGCCAAACAAGAAGCTTCAACTTCTGAGATGACAGAGCTTCTTAAAATTTTAGCAAATCGTTTATCTTAATTGTTTGTTAGTTTGTGCTCATTTGTGAATTTGCCTGTTTTATTTCTTTTCTGAGTCTCTAAATACATTTGTGATTTCTTTTTACATATGATTCTATCTTATATTTTTCTATTTTTCTTGCTCTGAAATTTTTTTTGTCTTATATGATTTTCTAAAATCACTTTTTGATATGACAAAAAGGAGGAGAAATGGAAATTTTGAATCATTCGCATAAACAAATACTGAATGGAAACTCACACATGTTAAAAACTAACTAATCATGATTTCAGTGTTTCAGAGTTAAAGTTACTCATCTGACAATATTTATATAATTAACTCTAAACAAGACCTGAGTCAGTCCACAAGCTTGCTCTGACTCTGGAAAGAATACAAGTGCTGAAAGGGAAGTTTTAAATTTTCTAGCAGTATTCATTTCAGGGGGAGAATCATATTCTCAGGGGGAGATATATATTTTTAATTTCGAAAAAAATTTCGTATATTTTTTGTCATCATCAAAAAGGGGGAGATTGTTAGAACACATATTGGTTCTTAATATATTTCAATGTTTTGATGATAACAATAATGAAATTTTATATGGAGAAAATATATACTCTAATTTTGTTCAAGTATTTTTGTTTCAGATAACATAATAAATATTCCTCTGAATGGAATATTCCTCTGAACGTTAAGCTACAGCTACAGAAGACTCTGAGCGTTTGGTAGAAAGCAAAGCTACAGAAGACTCTGAGCGTTTGGTAAAAAGCGAAGCTACAGAAGACTCTAAGCGAAGCTACAGAAGGCTCTGAGCGTAGAATATAAAGCGAAGATTCAGAAGACTCTGAGCGTACTAAACTCAACGCTGCAACTGCAGAGACTCTGAGAATCAAAACACGTAAGGCTCTGAAACGTTAGTAACAAAGTGATACATTTGGATAACACGTATGAGCGAAGATCTGCTCTGATCTGAAGCGCTCCTCTGGATGAACAGTTTGTTAAAATAATCACGCTAGCACTAAGCTGCAGAGCTCTGGACGAAAGTTACTCTGATAAGAAGAAAATGGAGCATCATCAGAGGATCTGATGTAGGAAATATTTCCATATTCATTCATTCAAAAATATGTTGATTAAGAAAGATCCGTTGCAAAATTCTTTGTCTACATCCAACAACACTATTCCTCTTTTGTGTATGGTACATGATGTTAGAACAAAAAGGATATCTCTGAACATTCCTCTTCTGGAAAGGAACAGTCAAAGAAGACAAAAAGTTGTGCACGCTATTTGAGAAATGTGAAGTATTTAAACAAGTCTTCAACAACAATTCAAATATACATTATTCCAAAAAGTGAAAGCATCATTCTACAGCGTACATATAACTTTTGCTGAAAAGAATATAGAAAGTTTCATTGTTCTTCATTTTGTGTAAAATCACTGTTGTGAAATAGCTTTTCTTTGAAGCACTTAAACACATTTTATTGTATATCTTTGTAATAGATCCTTGAGAGACCAAGTTGTGGTCAGTATTCTTGAGAAGACTAAGACAAATTTGTCTTAGTGAAAAGATTTTAATCAGTTTTTGATTATTGGATTAAGTCCTCTTTTGAAAGAGGCGAAATCACCTTGGCCGGGTGGACTGGAGTAGTTTGAGTTCAAACGAACCAGTATAAAAATACATGTTATTTTTATTGCCTTATTTGTTTTTAAAACCCTTATTCAACCCCACATTCTAAGTGTTTTCCTACCTTCAATCACAACGGTTGCCTAAAGTAACCGTTGTAGTAGGTAACGCGCTACATAGATACAATTACGGTTGCACGTCCATGGTGGAAAGCATATACAATCACACCTTATCTCACAATGGTTGGACTAGCGTGGTGGTATTCCATTTCCAACCGTTGTGATAACTTATCTCACAATGGTTGGACTAGCGTGGTGGTATTCCATTTTCAACCGTTGTGATAAGTGTTTTCCTTAGTAGTGGAAATAATGGGGGAGGGAATGACCTATATATAAAAAAAACAAAACAACATAGGAGCCATAAAAAGTGGCGCATGCTGCTAAATGTTGGATTCATGCGCCACATCCATTGGCTGCACACAAAGACATGTGTCACAGACATTGACGCCTAAGGCTAAACAAAGAGTGCATGCTATTTGAAATTTTTGTTTGAAAAGTGGTTAGTTTACTATTTTTTCTACAAAATGATTACTTGAGTTTTTTTTTTATTTTTATAAAAGTGATTATTTAAAAAAAATTTTAAAGAATGAAAAAAAATCTAAATTTAATCAATGGGATAATAAAAAATAGTGGCAACCTTTTGATTATATATATTTTTATTAAAGTTTTGATTTTATATAGACTTTTGGTTTTAAAGATTTTGTGCTTTATATTCAAAATGGTTCATCATGAAATTTTGTTCTATATTAAGAAATGAAGGGGCTAATTTCATTCCAACGAATATAATATTGGTAAAAATTAAAATCTTAATTATTAAGTAATATAAATTAATCGTTATAATCAACTATGCTACATGATTTTCTGCGCAACCAATCGTTCCACACAACTATTTTTTTTACAAATTTTTCTATATATAATATAGGCTCTTTTTGTTCCTATTTGAATTTTATTTCTTTCAAGAAAGCAAACCTTAAAAAGTGCCTTCTTTAGTTACCAATTTAATTATTTAAAACTTTATATAATTCATTTTCATAAAAGTTATGTTTTATTTTAAGAATTATATACTCTTTTATAACTATACAAATTTCTCTAATTTAAAAAACTTTACTTCATTTCATAAGTTTTTAGTTCTTAGTTTAATTAACTTTAATAATATCAAATATTTTAAATTGACCTAAATGAGTATGTGTCCTTGATTGAGAATTCAATCTCTAATTACAAAAAATAAAAAATTGTATTTTCTCATATATTAATCTAAACCAAATTTTATTTTAAAAAATAAAGTTTTAAGAATAAACTGTATTCGTCAATTTTATTATTAGTTTATTCATAAAAATTTAATAAATATTATAAATATGTTTTTTATTTATTTTTATATCATTTAATATAGTAAAATTTCACCAAAATTAAAATCTGTCTAGATTCATTATTTTTTAAATTATTTTTCTTAGTCAAAATTCACCCTTTAAATGAAAGCAAGTGGAAACACGTTATTCTTAACATTTTCTTACAAAATCCCTTAATCTTCATAATTTCTACTCTCTTCAATGCAAATAAATTCTCCCATAAGCTAACCATATTTCACTCTCTAACCATATCACACTCACCTTCTCTACAACGTTCTGTCGTTTACCCAATGGCAACAACACCCACCAACGACAAAAACAACAACGGCTCCTACCCACCTCCACAAAATCCTCCTCCCGGCGGTTACCCCGTCGACGTTCCCTATCCCTACGCAGCTCCTCCACCACCCTCTTCATACCCCACCACCACTGCATTCTATCAACAACCAACAACCACCTTCACTTACCACCAACCCTCCACCCGCGTGAAGTCCATCCTATGCGGCTTCATCTTCGTCATAACTGTCATCCTCGGCATCACTATCTTGATAGGTTATTTCAATCTCAAGCCACGTGCCCCTGAGTTCCGAGTCGACTCAGCTTCACTCACTTCCTTTAATATCAACGCCTCCGGTCTCACAGCTAAATGGGATTTCACTCTCACCGTCTCAAACCCTAACAAAAAAATCGATTTCTCATACGAAGCCATTGCCGCCGGTGTCTTTTACGACGGTGAAAATGATCTAGGGCTTCTTGCATCGACTCGTCTTGCACCGTTTCGCCAACCAACACAGAGTAAAACTTCGTTCCAAGTAGAATTCGCGGTTGTGAATGAGTTTCTGGATAACCGCGTTGCTAATGGTATTGCCGGAGGACGGGTTCGCGGTGTGGTGAATTTTGCGTTGGCGGTTAATGCTGTGATTAAACTCAGTGGTTGGTTACACCCAGGGAATCATAAATTTAAGGTTGCATGCGAACCTTTGAACTTTGCAATTTCGTCGTTGGATAATAACAACGCTACTGGCCAATTGTTGCGTGGTGTAACATGTGATTGATAGATATATCATGTACGTTTTTGTTTATTGTGTTTAATTTATGATGATTAAATAAAATTTAATGTTCCTTATCCATTATTTATTTTATGATTTGTGAATAATATATTCCTTTAATAGCAAATTAATATGAAAAAATTCAAGTTAGCGGTAAGAAAATTTATAGATATTAAAGTGAATAGAGTTTGGAGAAAGCTAAAGCTTAGTAAATATGTAGCTCAATTGATGATGGCTTAGTTGTTTCGATTCGATTGGTGTTTAGATGAACCTTGTGGTCGCTGTGTATTAACTATTATTTAGAAATAATAAATCTTTTCTTCCAAAAAAAAATATGGAGAAAAACCATACATTCACACTATAAATTAATTTTACATTTTTAATAAATGACAATTATATATTCTATTAAATCAGATTAAAATTGATCGTGCACCTCTATTAAACTCAATTAATATATTATTAAATGTGTATAAAATACTAAAGTACCAAAGTAAAAAAAAAAAAAAGATATTAGTAAGCGGAAGAAGTGTTAATCAGACTACAAGAAGGAAAAACAAAAGTTACAACAACAAAAATATAAAAAAAAATTAAGAAATATCAAAAAGTTTAATCAGACTACAAGAAGGAAAAACAAAAGTTACAACAACAAAAATATAAAAAAAATTAAGAAATATCAAAAAGTTTAATTGAGATGCACTGAAAGTGCAAAATAGTTTTACATTCTCAATCAATGAAAATATATCATTCTATCATGTCATATAAATAATTTAGAATTTTTAGTCTCACTTGATGGAATACACGATGGTCATTGGTCGACAATGTAAATTAAATTAATTTACATTGTCAGTGCATATCATATTTTCTCAATACGAAAACAACTAAAAACTCAGAAGAATTTCACAGAAAAGACACACAGGTGGCTAGAAAACTCGCCCCTGGGGTTCATGTTAGATCTTGGACTGCCATAACCACTATCAACAGATCGAAGGACACCATGAGAGGACTAAAAATCGCAAACCACTACCAATGTCAGAATCAAGACAGACACGCAATCCACTATTGGTTAAGGCAAATGATATGGTTTTGAAGACAGACAAAGAAAGTACATGAGTCTACCTCTTTTATATATGAAAACATTTTCAAGCAAAAAAAAACTCTTTTTTCCGAATCTTTTTCTTTTTCTTTCACATATTGAAACACTAATAAATATACCATCATTACAAATCCTCCAAATAAACCAGACAACAGCATGTCAAATCATATCAAAATTACCCATATACTTAGTCCTTCCACATAAAGAGAGGAAATACTCCTATGATAGTCAATGATCACTAGAGTAACAATATTTCAATTCAACCATAAAAAGATTGTATACCAAGTTATCATAGCTAACTTAAATGAGACAAAAGGATGGGAAACTGATTCAACAAAACTTCATAATAACCCATGTTTTGTGAGTTATTACAGGCATAATACTTGGATATTGTTAGTTATTTTATTATTCAATAGTTAATTTCATTGCATTTTTCTATTTTTAAAGTAGTTTGTAAAGAGCACAATAGGTGTTCTCTTTTGTAGCTTTTATGTGTTTATTGCTTTTTGAAATGTTAGTTCTGATGAGGTCAGGCACGACAGCTTGGGACATCATCTGTTAGTCAAAGGAAAGCAGAAGGTTGGAAGCAACTGGGAGAAAAAAAGAAACAATAATTACATTTCTAGGGCACACGTGGCAGCAATCTGCACAGGAGGGAAAGCTAATTTGAAAGGATAAAAGTAAAGGCGCTAGAAGATAAAATATAGTATGAAGTACAACCACTAAGCACGCCATGTAGCAAAAAGGACAGCGTCGCCTACTCCTCTATACCAACAGTCTACCACACTACACCTTGCCCCCACCACTGTTTGTACCTGTTTCTAATATTGTACGGATGGGAAAGAAAATGAGGGACCTTTGCTGATTTTCTTTTGGGCCTGAATGATTTATTCTCAAGCTCATGGTCCAAGGCAAGTTTTAAAACCCTAGTTGAAGCAACTATAAAATCAACTCTTAGAAAAGGAAAAGGAGTTCAACAACTGATAGAGAAAAACTCACATACAAGAAACTAGTGAAGAAAAGAGTTGAGTGAAAATGGAGATTATTCTTCTCACTATTTTAAGTGCCTAATATTGAATCCTGGCGCGACAGAAGCTGTCTTCTGATGATTATCCATTGCAAGAAGATAAGATGTTGCTTTTATGTTGTTATTTCTTTTCTATTAAGTTTTTAAGAACCTCCCCCCCCCCCCTCTCTCTCTCTCTCTCTCTCTCTCTCTCTCTCTCTCTAAAGGCAACAAGAATCACTACTTTAACTCCAAAAGGACTCACTTTTAAAACTCCATCTTCTCCAATTTCCCAATTTCTTACAATCTCTATTAAAGGTTCTAGATTTACTATTCTACAAACAACCATGTCTCACTCCAAGAAGGGAAAAGAGAAGGCTTCCTCCTCCTCCAACACAAGATCAAGGCTCTCTAGGGTAATTTCAAGATTTTTGCTTTTCCTAAATAACAACAAAGGTTTAAGGAATTATTTAAAGAAAAGGTTGTCATTACTCCAAGGTTAACTAGGCTTATGTGATTTTGCATCACATGGCAAATCAAAGTGAGGGTTCAGCCGCACTTCCATATGTTTGATTCTTAACCAAGATTTTTGAGAAATGCAATGTCAATGTGTCAAATTAGAATTTTGTCCAAACGCATACTAGTGAGTATATGATCTTCAAATATATCCTCAACAACAAAATGGGTGTAAGGTATAATCATCTTTCATTAGCAAATAACCTATGTTGATGAAGAAACCGAAGAACCTACTGTTCATCCTCCTTCACCACCTCAATAACCTGTCATTGATGGTCCTTCAAACCAGGATGTTATTGATAATATGATTCAAGGTTTTGCAAGAATGGATGAAGTTTTTGCTAGGATGGATATGATCTATGGATATATGAGGGAAGAATTTGGAGACCTTAAATAGGATGTGACGGGGCTTACTTCAAGTATGGATCAATATGATGCTTTTAGCAAAAGAGAGAACCTAAATGATATGAACCGAAATTAAGGTTAACCTTGTTTTTGTATTTTCTTGATCATTTTTATCTTTCAAGTACTTTGTTTTTATTTTTATGTTTAATGTTTTATCATTTCAAGTACTTTGTTTATTGTATAATGTTTTATCATACATCTTTTAATTTTATGGTGTTTCAATGTTATGCTTGATGCCTTTATGATCATTGTGTCTTGGTTGTCTTTATATTCTTAAAATTTCACCCATCTTTCCTGTTAGACAATGACAACGATCTAAGTGGGGGTGAATAGATTGCTCATAAATTTTCTTTGACTAAAAATTTAGTTTAAAAATATTTTCTATGACAAGGCAAAGTGGTTCTAAATCGACACTCGTCTATCCCATACTATTATAGGAAGAACCGGATATATGTAATAAACCGTAACGAAATGAAATTAACATACCACAATGATGAGAAAATAAATCAATAAATTTTTTTAAAATTAAGTTTGAAAAATTTTACACTTCAATAATTAATTTTCAATGAAATTAAAAAATAAAAATTGATTATGATGATTTATCAAACACTTAGTGTGCAATAAACACCAAACTGATTTTTTATTGTTGTTGGTGATGTGTGTGATACCTCAATTTTTTCCTACCTAATTTACATTTGCATTTTTATTTTTTTTTAGTTCATTTTTATCTGCGTCAACAAGACCATTTCATCTTGTCATGCATGGTCATCGGTTCAAAAATCATTCATTCGCATAGCATGTTAGTTAATTGAGCTACGTGAGAATTCATCAGTTATTCTTGTTCTTGTTCGGATGATAAGTATGCATCACATCATTGGTCATTTGATCTCATTTTTATACCAAAGTCAACAAGGGATTAAAAATCAATAAACTCTTAAAACCATCCCATTCCATCATTTATGCATCATATTTTACAAACAAACAAAAAAATCACAAGCCCAATTAGGCCAATTAACAATAAATCCTTTTTGGCAAATATCTTATATCCATTCTAAAACCTTTTTTGGAACCATTTCATCCTTGAATAATTTGATCTTGGTAATAACTATTTTTACCTCACAATCAATTTCAACTTTACCTCACTTTAATTCCAATTTTCACCTTTATTAATTATCTCATTTAAATAACTCTTTTCCTTACACATTACATAAGCCATATCACATTCTTACACTAACACAACTTGGTCCACCCCCAAAATTTACAAAATGTTGAAATTGCATCAAATAGGATTGAAACTTGTCAAACTAACATTACATAGGCTAAGTATTACACCAGCATGCATTCATTAACCAAAATCACAATTTCATTACATCCAGACTAACCCAAACTAGTTTACATTCGTGACCATATTTGAATCAGTACAACAACCATTGCAAACCAAGTCATGCTTCATTTAATTATTATTGTAACTGATAGTTGTTCCACTTGTTTTATTCTCCATCCCCCCCCCCCCCCCCCCCCCCCCCCCCGGCCATGTGTTAGGTCACCGGTGGAACAAGGTGGGGAGCGCCGATTGGCAACTCCTTGGGTGAAGCTAAACCGGTTTGGATCCGGGTTTTGGGCCCTAAACCATTATCTTATTTTCCAAACCCCTATTCCTTTGTTCCACACCACCTGTTTGAGAGAGGATAATTGACGTTGGGCTTTGGACTAGGCCCAAAAGCGCCACATGGCCTTTAGCGGCTGATATTTGCTTTTAACACCATTTCTTATTTTTACTTTTTTTCTTTTTGTTTTATTTTCTTTTCTCAAGTTTTATGTTATAATTAATTAATTTGATTTTTGTTTTAAGCACTTAGGTTAATTGGACCTTAATTAACTTAATTAGTAAAATGGATTTTCTTTAATTAATTAATTTAGTTAGTTAAATCTAGTAAACTTAAGTATTTAATCTAAAAACAATTTAATTAATTAATTCTCTCCTTT